ATGTAATGAAAATGAAAACAGCAATGGGAAAAATACCCCAAATGATACAACCACCCACCCACTGAGGCCCAGCGAGTTCCTGAGCAGCAAGATCCAGAGAGAGAGAGAGCCTGAGAGAGCCCCCTGGCCAAATCCCCCTAATTTATATACTGAGCATGACATTTTATGGCATGAAATGTCCCTTTGGTCAGGCTGGATCAGGTGTCCTGGCTGTCTCGCCTCCCAGCTCCTTGCAGAGAAGCAGCTGGGAATGCAGGTGCGATATCCGAAACTGAGAAAGTCCTTCACTTAGTATAAGCATTGCTGGGCAACAACTGAAAACATTTGTATATTAACAGCACTCATCTCAGCACAAACCCAAAACAGAGCCTTGTACCAGTTGCTGTGAAGAAAATTAACTCTATCCCAACCAAAACCAGCACAAGAAGGCAGGCACATGCCATGCTGTCCTAGTCCAGGAGGGCAAACAAACAAATTCATGCTAGCATCAAAATATTTTGCTCTGTGTAAGACAAAATATTTTAACTGTTCAAGGCCAGGCTGACATTTTATGTTTTTCCCCCTGGAAAATCTGGGGTAATTTCTCTCCTCTGATTCTTCTTAACAGTCTGGGCATCTCAGCCTTCTGTCAGCATAGAGCCCAGCTGGACTACAGTGGCCAGAGGACTTTAAGCTTGCATGAACTGCTCTAAGTGATTTTCAATACTTGATACGGTTTAGTACAGCAAGGCCTGCTAAAGCAGATTACAGATGGGTATAATACAAGTCAGGGCAGGCGCCGGGTCAGCGATCCCTCCGCAAGGACCAACTTCAAAGACCAGGACTCGTCCTGCCCCAAGCACAGCCGATACCCACAGTCCCATCCCTGACCTCAGAAAGCCCATTTTCTGAAGGTGACACTTTGCACCCTCGGAGGGGACTTCTGCCAGGACACCAGTTGTGTTTGAAAGCTCTGGGATTTCCTGGGACTTTTGCATGCAGCCAAGCTGGCACCTCTCCTGAAGCAGCACACACTCGCCAACGAGAGATTGGGACCACCCCAGCCGGAGACCGCTTCTGGTCAACACTCACTAAGGCGGCTGAGAGACAATGAGGCCCTTCAGGGCTAAATCCCAAGAGCCCCAGCCATCCCCTTTGCCAAGGACATCACTAATTCCTGGTAGTGGCTTGATTCCGTAAGCGGCTCAGGGAGGTGACTTTCCAGGTCACCAGCTAATTGCAGGTGAAGTGCCAATGACTGTCTCCAGCAGGAGGGAAAGTTGGGAGCTCTGAGGGAAGAAAGGGCGTAAAACAGGTTTGCTCAGCTCCCTTTAGCAGAGCCAGCTCCCCCGGGGCAGCTAAAGGGAGATGGGAAAAGGCTGGGTGGCTGGAAAGGATCTATGGCTGAGCCTCGCCATCTGTGCAACCGGAGGAATCCTGGTACATCACGGTTGCAGAGGTGGACCAGGGGCTGCAGAGGTGGATCGGGGGTTGCAGAGCCAGACTGGGGGTCGCAGACCCTACACATCTCCTTTGAGGCTTGCCCATTGCTTGTGACTTCGAGAGCC